CCCGCCTCCAAAAAGGTCGCCCTCCTCGTAAGTTGGAAGACGTCGTCGAGCGCCTCGACGCAAGTCAGCAGCCGCAGGGCCGGGCCCGCCTCCCACTCACGGTGCAGCAGCGGCGCCAGGCGCGACAGCCCATGGCCCGTCAAGAAGATGAGGACCGCCGTCGGAGGAGGGAACCGGCGGCCGCGCTCGGCAGGGGCGAGGGCGTCGCCGAGGTCGCCGCACCGAAGCGCTCCCGTCGTGAGAGCGAGCAGGTCGCACGCGGCGAAGGAGCAGCGCGAGGACAGGCCCTGCTCGGCCGCGCGCCCGCTCGCCTCGGCGATGCAGTCCGCGTCGATGTCGAGTCCGACGCAGGTGCAGCCGTGCTGCGCAGCGGCGGCGTGGAGGACGCGGCCATCGCCGCAGCCCAGGTCGTACACGACGTCCTCCTCGCTCAGCCGTGCCGCGTGCAGCAGCGCGCCCACACGTGCCGATGCGCATGGCACATACGGCGCCACGGACTTGGGGCCCGCCGACGACCACTCCTCGCCCGCGTGCCTCTCGAGCGCCTCGCGCCGAGACAGCAGGAAGCGAGACAGGTTCGCGTGCTGCTCCGCCGAGTGGAGGTCCATCGCGAGCGCGGCTGGCGAGCGTGGCTGGGCGGGCGTGGCTCGCGAGCGTGGCTGGGCGGTCGCGGCAGCTAGCGTGTCGTCGGTGCCAACACCGAAAAGAGAAAAAGTACCGTTTGTAGTGAGCTGTGAGCTGTGTGGTGGCGGCGTGCCGTCCTCCCATCCCTCCCTTGGGTTGTCTGTTTTCTTTCTTTCTTTTTAGCTGTACACGGAGCGAGGGTCTGTACCGAGGCGTACAGGAGCGATCACACCAAGATCACCATCGTCCTGAAGGGGACAAAGCTATCGTCCTGAAGGACCACGACGAGACGCCGTCCAGGACACATCCCTCTGGAACAAGGCATCTCGACTATCGGACAGTACTCAACAGGGACATCTCTCTATATACACGAGTGGGGTATTCACACTCCCAACACTCCCCCATTGTCTGCGCGGTCTTCAGATGCGGTACCGAGCAGTGTGCGGCCGCTACATAGGAGGTAATCCTTCTCAATAACAACGTATGTGTAGCCATAGGAGGTATTTCCTTCTCAATAACAAGGTATGTGTAGCGCCATAGGAGGTACTTGCTCAACACCAGGTATGTAGATACTGGAGTAGTGGCCGACCGGATTCAGATTGAAGCAGGAATTAAGGAAGGACGGTACCTATACTGCTGGGGAATCGACAACTGGTCTCTGGGAGGGAGAAGCCCAGTCCTCTGCTGTGGTGTGGCGGGTGCCTGGATCGTTCTTTCTTCGGTACATTCTTGGGAGGTCGGATATGCATTCTTCAGGGTTGAAAAGTGCGGTTTCGGAGTGGATGCGCTCTTTCGGCATCGAG